ATGTATATATGTATATATATATATATATACATATATATATATACATATATACATATATACATATATACATATATACATACATACATACATGCATACATACATATATACATGCATACATACATACATATATACATGCATACATACATACATATATACATATATACATATATACATATATACATATATATATATATATACATATATATATATATACATATATATATATACATATATATATATATACATATATATATATATGTTTACAACTTTACTGTATCATGCTAACTTTTACTTTATTTGTATCATGGTAGCATGCAGATAATACAATAAAAAATTGTGTATAGTATTTAGTTGTCTTCTGAGTTATGAAAAATGGTGCCGTTGCACCCTACCTAGACCTCTATTGGGTTAGCCTTGTGCACTGAGCCATCTTATGCATATATCAAGTCATTCTTAGCACTTAATGTACCAATAATTGGAACTCTAAAACCTGAGATAACACATAGACACTGGTATAATTAAATAATTAAACTATAAATGTTTCTGTTATATGTTTTCTCCTATGACCTGTGTTTTGTTCTTATCATGTATGGTAGGTTTGACACTGCTAAGATGTTCAACAGTTAATGTCCTACGAACAGAAACAAGTTAACTTAAAGATGTCAAGCACTGTTACACCAGAGTTACTTGGCTGTATCCATGAGTCTAGTAGAAACTGAAAAATTGTACTATTGGCTGACCAAAAGATTTTTGTTCTCTGCAATAATGGTGTGGTTATGGATCCTGTTGAACACTTTATATGTGCTATATAAAGTTCAGCTAGCAACACATTATATGAAAGGATGGGTTTGTTTTGGGGACTCAACCTTGTTTTTGTATGGATATATCATGTAGAAGTAGTTTAAGTTCATCATATTGAAATAGCATGATGAAGAAAATTGTGAAGAAATCTTGAGTAGTTGCCAACAATTTCATTCATGTTTTCTTTGATGGGGCAAGCTCTCAACATTTTGTTACTTCTAATGCAGGTATTCTACAGAGAATAAAGTTTTAGCATTTGGCATAAATTACTTATGACTAATATTTTTAGTGATACATTTGCTTGCCTTGAGACTGTAAACATATTAACTAGCATTATGGGTTATGTAATTCCTTTAATATAATTAGGATTTAGTAATCCTAATTTTGTTGATTATGTTATTTGTCTTTGTCCATATCTAGAGTAGTTACACTACTTCATGTCAAATTTCTATGTTTGGTGTATGATTTTGAAAAAAGTACATCATTTATAATTAATAGCATTATTGTTTTCTTTCAGGAGCCCTGGAAAGATTTTAAGCATAAAAATCCCCACTTTTGAAGCCCTATCACAATTTGGCACAGCGACAATAACAACTAAGAACATTGGTGAACTAGAAGCATCTTATAGTTTAACAGTATGTTTGTTGAGTCTCAACCCCTTGGCATCGATTGCTAGATAACAATACTTATTTCTTAAGAAAAAAAATCTCTCTTAGAGTAATTTGACCCGAGACACTTCTGATTTATTGTATAATAGATAAATTTGACTTTTAAAGTCCATAAATTTGAATGTGTTGAGGACAATTAAAAGAGTGCCTATAGGATTACTTTAAGTTTGACCTCTACTTCTAAATTTTGACTATTTATTATCTTGCAGTTTCACTGTCTAAGTGGTGTAAGTTACATGGCGGTAAGTTTATTTTGCTCATTCCTTCATGTTTACAAATTACATTGTCATACTTGTGCTACTCTTGCATATTTGTTGCTAAAAAAACTTTAAAACATCTTTCCTAAAGAAGTGAAAAGCTTTGCATTAGTCTTATGTAAAACACCAAATACTTTGGAAAATACATATGCTATCAAACTGAAATTTGAACTGTATGTTATCGTATCTTTTGAAAAATTTAGAGAATCTTTCATTTACTTTTTATGTTAGATAAATTTGCATGTGAATTAAAATTTTTAATCATTCTAACCTACTATATTCTTCAAAAAGGATTGATTCTTTGCAAGCTTTTTCTGTTTATAGAGAATTAAAATTTAGAGTGATCAGATTTGGAGTCAGAAAGACAATCTTTCAATATTTCTTTTTTTCCTACCTATAGTTCTCGTTAGCTAGTTTTTCACTATGATGCCTAACTATATCAACGAGCCATAATGTTCCATCTATTTGGGGTTGGTTATGTGTATTTTCTTTCCACTACTGACTTCTATATAAATTAAGAGTAGCCAAATTTCTTTTTATTCACACCACTAATTCTATTTTAAACTGCCTCTTTCAACATGGTCATTTATATATCTACTTTGAACATGTCTATACAAGTGTTCAATTATTTTTCTTTTGTCTTTTTCTAATTGTCTTCTTCCTTTCCTCTTATCTTACATTTTGTCTTCCTTTTAAATTGTTTTCTCTTTATTGTTCAAATATTTATCTTTTCCAAATGGTTTGGATATTGATCTGTCCAATGCATGCAGGAACAATTTTTTATACTGAAACCAGATGAAGAGGTTACTCGATCATTTTACATATATCCAACCACAGATCAAGCTGCAAGATATCAGTGTGCAGGTGTGTTGTAAGTGTCCAATTTGTAAGGGACCAACATTTTTACATTTGCTTCATTTATTGTCTTTAAACTGTTTTTTTTTTCTTTTATCATTATTTTTAGTATTTTTTAAAGAAAATTTCTGCTCATGTGCAGCTGTACTCAAGGGTTCTGATTTTAGTGTACTTGATCAAGCAGAATGCCAGTTTACTACCACAGCTACTGTTCTCGAAAATGGATCACAGGTCTTCTTAGTCCTTGAAGTTGATATTTTTTTGACATATTTATCACTGAAGATATCGATTTTTGAGTTTCTGATAATCAGCTGTGAAGTTGGTTTTGTGGATCATCAGTCTCTACTTGTGTCATGAGATTTATTTTTTGCTTTCGGAAAAATAAGCTAATTATATGTGTAATTAGATTTTAAAATCTTAGTGTGAAATTATGATCTTTAGACAGATGAAAATAGATTTTATGAGGCTGATTTGATGACCACAAAATATCATATTATTTTCTCCCAGAAACATATAATCCGAAAGAATGTTGATCACAGTTATTAGTGGCATACATCAATTATGTTTCTTTAAGAAGTATTGCATTTATCACATGCATATGTTTGTGTTGTTCGTTTCAGTTATTGAACTTGAGAAGTTCAATTTGCTTGCATGTAAGACCTTGGAAAGAAACAAAATCGTAGGTATCTTAGCTTCATATATAAATAGGATGTCCCTAGAGAATGCATCCATAACCTGTTTATTAGACTTGTAGCATAATGAAACCTACCCATGTTTATCAGGAAAATTCAACTGAAAAATTTTGGAACCAAAATAGTTAACTAGGACTTGAATATGTCTGATTGGTTTGAGATAGCCAGGAAGCCCAATATCTATCACCATAAAGCGAGGATAGCAGTTCAGTTTCACCAATTCTTTGTGCACTTGGAAGCTAAACAAAAGTTTCAATCATGTTGTACTATTAGAGCTAATTAACTGTACGTGCAAGAGCATCATCCACTCTGAACATCCTCAAACAAATCTATTATAGAGCAAATCAAAATAATTTGGGAAATTACACCTCATATCTCATAAACTACAAATCTATAATACCAAGGATTCAGATCTTGGCTCGATCACAGTGCTGGCCAACTAATTGTAAATAAGATTGGCGTGCCATTGGAAAAAAAGTTTTTAGGAAAAAGGAAAAGGGAAAGAAGTTTTCAATAAAAAAAACACTTGTTGAAAGAAAAAAAGACAGCTTATCCTAAGAGCTTATGAATTGGCATATCCTACTGTTATTTGACCTATCCTTTGATGAGATTCATTAATGAGTAATATATGTTGCAGAAAACTACAAAAAGTGTCATCCTTTTTGTTATTTTTTGAAGTTCTAAGCTGGAAAAAGGTATGCACTGTGACAGATTATGCCTGCTTCAGTGCTATGCTGCCTTATTGTCATGGTAGGTTGTGCTAGGCCAGCATTACACTCTTGTTCATATATATCACAGGTAGTCAATAACTTTGTTACTTATATTATAATGAAGTACTGACCACTTGACTGTGCATAATAATGCACAATCACTGTGATGTCTGCTTGGAGACATCCAACCTTTTCAATACCTGTCTTATGTTGAATTTTCAGATATCTACCCCACGCTCTTTTCCTTTCCCCTTATCTTGTACTTCATCTCTCTTCTTTCACTTTCTGATTTGCAATGTGCAATTGACAGCATTTTTTGGATGCTATAATTAGTTTGATCTGATTCTATTTTGCATTCAATATATTTCTTTCACGCCAATGCCAGAATTTATACCTCAATTCTTTCTCACATGAATATGATGGCTAGTACATGATATAAACTGTACATTATGTACTAAATACCACCTAAAAGTATTTACTTTTGTATAGAATATGATGTAAACTGTAGTTAGTTTTTGAATGTGATTTTTGAGCAACTTTTGGTATGTGATTTAGTGTTTTTATTTGTTAGTGACTTTTTGATATCAAATATGGCAGCACCTTCTAGTTTCAGTACAGTTCAACATGATTTATTTTTTCTTGTATTTGTTGGTAACTACTCAAGTGATTTCGAATATGAATGTTCTATCTAGATCTTGATTGTAGTAGGAGAACATATTTTATTTACAAATATTGTATTCCAAACTGGATCTATAGCCTAAAATTTTTATCCTGGTTGCCTCAGTCTTCTATCAGTGATGGTAGCATTAGCATATCTATCCAGCTAATTTTAATCTTTCTGAAGATGTTTATCATATTTTTTGCTGATAACATGTTATTTTATTTATCTTTATCATATACCAAATCCTCATTATTCAACAACCTTCTTTCAGTTCATTTGTTAAGAATGTTGCAGATAGTTCCTGCTGATGAATTGAAAAAGAATGAGATAAATAGTTTCTTTGAAGCTATTAAAGGGGCCTGGAGTATGATGTGGAGTGGTTTGGTCGACTTTTTTACTGGGAGAACATGTAGGTGTGTAACTGTCCAATCAAATTATTTTAGAATCACAGTCGCTTTAGTCCGTAATTAAAGACCTATCTTAAGCATAATATATGAATCATATACGGCATTACTTCCAATATTTGGTTTTACTCCATATAATTGATGAGGCAATCAGTGTTTGCAGCAACACATGCAAGATATTGTGCCTTGTTCAAAGTTCAGTCTTAATTGGTAAATACGCTAGGTTAGTATTAGAGAATCATCTTTTATTATGTGCACAAGGAAATCATGAACACATTATGGCAGAGTATTTTCAGGTCTGCCCAGTAATGTACTACACACATTTGGTGGAGATACTTTTAAGGGAGATATATTTTTGGGACATATAATTTTTCTCAGGAAGAATCTTAGATTGGCTAAGAACTCAGCACCCTAGATGTGACCTTGGTAAAATCTCATACTTGCCACCTTGACATTAGAAAGGGCTCCTTCCCTTTGTTCGCACTTCATACTGTGTAACTCTAGTTTTTGTTGCTTATGGCGACCCATCTATGCTTAAGAGCCAATAAGTTTTATAAATCCTGTCTTCATTGTCTACCCTTTGCAAAAAAAAAAAAAAAGAACTCATCTATTCTTATAAATCCAGATCCCACCATTCCAACTTATTCATGCTAATCTTTCCTTTGCCCTCTAAAACTTTGGTGCTTATAGGACCTCTCTGGACTTGTCATATTTTTACCCTTGATATTATTAGACAAAAAATAGGTATTGTGATTTTGATGAGTTGGCAGCAGCTTGAGGTAAGAAAATGATGTAATAGGCAGAAAAGCAATAAGAAATTGGTTGGGGCCAACTAGTTGACCGTGTCTACTAATAACTTGTCATGGAAACAACAGTCATAGAATAAAGGGTATCAAAGGAGCAGAAGCGAGGGTGGGTAAAGTAGGTGCGTTGACTTTGATAAGTTGGTAGAATCAAGGATTTTGCATTGAATTTACTGTAGCAGGAGATCTTGGGTAATTAATTGGGTAAAATGGTGCTGATGGAGCAAACATATGATCTTATATCTTCATGTTTAACAGTAAAGAAATCTCTTGATAGTTAGACATTGTTGGTGGCACAGGCGAGAAAATGACTGCAAATGGTTCTCAGTCACTATGATAGAAAATGGTTCACCTGTGATAATTTTCATTGAACATAGTAGACGCCTGCTAGACCACAAGAGGTGAATAATTGAATTACTCAGGTTGCCCACCAAATTTTTATTTTGTAAAAGCATAGAGAATTATGCTTTATCAAAGCCTCGGGAATCTTTGTTTTTTTCCCTTTACCTTTGATAAATCACTTGTGTCTATATCTTTTGTAAGAAGGTATCATGTCTTTTATGTTTATGTCATGCTTTATCATGTATTTTACCTTTGATAAGTCTCTTGTAGCATGCCTCAAAGCACAGTAGTTGTAGTGTAGTATCTGTTTATCCCTGATATCCTCTTATCCTATCATCAGAAAGTGCTTATTTACTTCCTCTAGAGGCACATAGAAGCTGTGATTCATCTCTTTCAGATTAATGAATGAAGCCAGATAATTTCGTTGGTAGTACATGATTAGTAGCATGCTTCTCTGTATCTTATCCTAATAGTGCCAAGTATGACTTCAAAATCTTTCATTTGGCGCAGAAGTAAATGTCAAAGTTTCTTCGATTTCAGTTGCCACGTACAATATGTCTGTGTGAGTTGGATAGTGATGTTTGGACTACTGCTTGCATCTCTCCTGACAGGTACGTCTCCTTTGTAGTGATTGGTCAGTTTCTAAACACGATTCTGAGCATGTTTCGAAATTAACGTATCTTAGAGTTGCAGGTACTGTGCTCCTCTGGCTGCTGCATCAAAAAGGATTTTTTGATCCAATCTATGATTGGTGGGATGATCGACTTAAAGGCACAAAGAAAAGGAATAGAATCAATTCAAAGCATGCAAAAAACGTTAAGAAGCCTGGCCTTAGACATCAGAAAGAAACTGGCCGGGATGTGCACCACAAGCACAAGCCAATTCCTTCACATGATGGAAAGAAGCCAAAAAGCAGTCACAGTCATCGTGTACCCCACAAACATATCCATCTTGGCTTGGCAGAAAATGATCGCTCTCACCGTAAACATGACACTCATCTCCATCTTCATAAAGTGAGGCACAAGCACAAACATAGCGAAAGTTACCTTGCTCAAACCCACAAGTCCAACAAAAACCGGCCGATATCCACGGAGATGGGAGATATGAAGCACAAGATAACCAGATGCAGTGATGAGAAAGATTCGAGGCACAAACATGTCTATCGTCAGCTGCATGGAGCAAACTCGCATGCGAAGCACGATAAGGATCTTTGGAACTATATGTAACTGGTTTCTTTCTTGTATTAGGTATTCACAATGCCAACTCCTTTCTTTTGGTGAAGAAGCTATTGAAATCAAAATGTCTAAGCCATGAATACGGAGACACCGTATAACCTGTTTTTTGTTTGCTAGGAAAGCAAGCACACGTTCTATCTCCTGATCTATACTCGCTCGCTCCCTCAAGGAAAACATGTCTTCGTACAAATACAGAACCCTAGTTTTAGACTTCCCGTCAGCTGAACTTTCTCAACCATGGCACACCGTAACAACCCAACCCGACGCTGGAAATCCCACGCGTCAGACTTCCATATCATCTCAGAATGCTCGACGAGTTACGGCCCCTGCAGCTGATCCTTCACGGATCGCACGTCCACGGGCTGATCACATGCGACCCCCGCCGGCCTAAGAAGCTTCCTCCCGGGGTGCGGTCACCCGCTTCGATTCGATCCGTGCACCGCCCCTGATTCCCCAACGGTCACATTGAGTAAAAAAGCGTTACTGCCCCCCAAACGGTCGAATCGATCCCAGCCCACCCCCGTCCGATGGAGATCCGACGGCCAACGATCCGCAACTGGACCGTCACGGGAATCATCCCCCTTCGCTACGGTTCAGCGTTTTTCCCATGGCCTAATGGCGTCCGTAGCAGCAACCATCGCCCGGCACGCAGCAACAGCAGCAGCAGCGAGAGGGGATGGAATGACGGAAGGAGCAGCGAAGGAGCACACCAAATCCCTCTAATCCCCTCTCTTCTTAAATCTTCCCCTTGTTCTTCGTACACGAACCCCGACAGATGTCTTTCCACAGCTAATCCTTCTTTCCCCTTGTTGTTTTTCTCGTCTGATCATGGAGGCGGCGAAGATACCTGGTGGCCGGTCAGAGGTTTCTCCGACAACCAGGGAGCCCGCACGAGCTTCGCTGTGGAATTCCCATGGCTTCGTGCTTACCTCCCCTCGGTAATGTCTTCGAATCAAGATCGATCTTTTTTCGTTTTTTCTTTTCTTCTAACAATTCTTTGATTCTTTCACACGACCTTTTCTTCTTGAAACAAAAACTAAAGCAAGCAAGAAAGAAAGAACTCAAATTCTTTACCGTCTCATACATTGTTTTCCCTAAATTCTTTAAGCCAATATCACTTCCCCTCTCTTCTTGAATTTGAATTGCAACACCTGAAAGAAACACATAGGCAGCTCCTCGAAGACAGATAGGAAAAGGCTTCTTTTGTGTTGAGTTATTCGCATTTCTTTTCTTCTTCTAATAAAGATAGGAAGAAGAAGAATAATAGATATACTCACTGATTGCAAGGAGGAAAGAATTATTTGCGTTTTTAATCTTCTTTTTTTGTTGTTGTAATAAGAAAGAAAAATTGGAAGAGGAGTAGAGGATGTTGGCTGGGTGCCCATTGACGCTGCCATCGCCGGGGATTGACGCTTCTGTGCAGTTGCAACCTTACCATTTCCAGCTGCAGGAGAAGAAGCACTGCCCTCCGCAGCAGACGATGGGCACCCAGCGGCTTGACCTGCCCTGCGGCTTCTCGTCCCGGAAGGACCCCCTGCGGGCCGTCCTCTCCGGCGAGACGCCCTCGGCGGAGGCCCCAGGGACTAGCTGCTCCTTTAGGCAACACCCAGTAACACACTCTTCGTCGTCGTCGTTAGTGGCCCAGGCTGCTGCCCCTTGGGGAAGAACGGTGGAGGCCATTGACGGCCGCAACGGCGGGCCGTGGGAGCAGAGGAGGAGCTCGAAGCGACTGCACGACAGGATCTCGTGCGGTGACTACCGCGCAAAGAGGACGAGGACAGTCGACGTCGAAGCCGATGCATGGCCGTCTCCGTCCACCGAAGAGCCTCCGCTGGTGGAGGCGGAGGAGGAGAGGGTCTTTCTTGTGCCCAATGCAGCAAGCTTTCCACTTCCGGCGTTCTCCGGCCATGACAGGTCGCGGTCGGAGACGAGTTCCTCGTCCGGCGCATTCATATGTTCTGGCAATACGGCGACATCGGATGGGCCTCGTCTTCCTCCTGCCTCTGGTTTTGCTGGTTTTGGAGGTGAAGGAGAGGGTATCCAGACGGAGCAGCAGGGTCTTGAGCTCGTGAGCTTGCTCACCTCCTGTACGGAGTCCATGAGCTCGTCAAACTACGAAGCCATGAGCTTCTTCTTAGCTCGACTCGGAGAGATGGCCACCCCATTCGGGACCCCTCTTCACCGGGTGGTCGCCTACTTCACCGAGGCCTTAGCACTTCGAGCCGCAAAGCTCTTGCCGCACATCTTCTCAGTCGCTCCACCAAAGACCATCACCGACCCGACCGACAACGACGACGATGCCATCGCACTGCTTCTCCTCGATTGCGTCAGCCCCATTCCCAAATTTCTTCACTTCACCCTGAACGAGAGATTGCTGAAGGCATTCGAAGGAAAAGACAGAGTGCACATCATAGATTTCGACGTCAAGCAAGGACTTCAGTGGCCGGCTCTGTTCCAGAGCTTAGCTTCCAGGCCGAACCCTCCCGGCCATGTGCGGATCACCGGCATCGGGGAGTGCGGACCGCATCTCCAGCAGGCAGGAGTTCGGCTCGCAGGGATCGCAGAATCCCTCGACCTTCCCTTCGAGTTCCATCCGGTGGTGGACAGGTTGGAAGACATCAGGCTTTGGATGCTTCACGTGAAGAGGGAAGAGTGCGTGGCGGTGAACTGTGCTCTAACGATGCACAAGACGCTCTACGACGAGAGCGGGAAGGCGTTGACGGACCTGCTGGGTCTGATAAGGAGCACGCGCCCGGAGATCGTCGTCATGGCAGAGCAAGAAGCGAAGCACAACGAGCCTACCTGGGAGACGAGGCTCGCCGGATCGCTCAACTACTACGCTTCCGTCTTTGATTCCATGGAACATGCTCTGCCTGTGGACAGCCAGGCCAGGATCAAGATCGAAGAAGCCTTTGCTAAAGAGATCAGGAACATAGTCGCGCGTGAAGGAAGTGAGAGGACGGAGAGACACGAGAGCTTCGATAGGTGGAGGAAGCTGATGCAGGATGGTGGGTTTCGATGCCTGGGCATCGGAGAGGGAGAGCAGAGCCGCATGATACCAAGGATGTACTCCTGTGAGAACTACAGCATCCATGAGCAAGGAGAAGGTGATGGCCTCACCCTCAAGTGGCTGCACCAGCCTCTGTACACAGTCTCTGCATGGGCTCCTGCGGATGTCACGGACGGCCCCTCCACCTCTCAGCCAAACTAGGTGACTTCTGCACCAGCCTCTCTCTCTCTCTCTCTCTCTCTCTCTCTCTCTCTCTCTTCGGCAGCTTTCTCTTGCTCTCCAAAACCATGCAAGGTTTGGTCTTTTCCATCTACAACATACAACATACAAAATTCTTTTGGTCATTCTTTTATTTTTCTCTTGTTACAGAAGTCCAAAATGATTGTAACTTAGTTCTTCAGCAGAAAATTGTTGTCTAATAAATTTTTATTCTTTGATTACTTCCTTCAGTGATATTTATGCATGAATACTATATAATTTGTTTCAGACTTAAGCCAAACTCTTTTTAAGTTTATTCTGCTAAGTCAGCACATATATGCAATGTTTGAAGCTAAATCACACTTACAGTTGGAGAAACAATTGTTGTGTCAAAATCCAATAGCTTAATTCTCAATCAAACCAGAGAGAATAATACAATACATGTATCTCTCTCGTCATGCATTCCAACCTCTCCTCTCCATTACAAAGTCTCTCTCTGGTTGTGAAGGAACTTTCTACTCCTAAATCCCATAGCATAAATTTGGGCCTTTCTACTCCTAAATCAAATGCATTTATCAGATGACAAATTCCATTTCTTTAACCCAACATGTAATTTAGTTAATTAATTCATCAGAATATATATATATATATATATACACACACACACACCACCTCTTCAACGTGCGTTGTGACACGCGCAAAGCATGTGCAGATGTTTCCAACGCAATTAACGTCGTGGAACAAAAAATGCATTCACCCGTTGATCTACTTGGCTTCGATCCACCCAACTGCACACCAATTTTAGTCGCCGCCACGTCACCTCGGACCACTGTCGTTTTAAACGCGTGTGATTCTGTTCTCGACGCGCTCGTTGGAGGCAGTCGTAACCGTGGGTTCCACACGCCCTAAAAAGGTTCCACGTCACCATTTTCTGTACCCATTCGTGTACCCAACATAATACCGACATGCAGCACGTAATTAACGGTACCTCTCGACTCGTACCCGTCGGCGGGTATGTTGCAAGAGTGACAGATCCACCGGTGACTAAGGCGACGGAAGCGGCAACGAACGACTCGACTCTCGTACGGCCGAGATCGGGTTCCGTGAGTGGGTCCCACACGCAACGAGGATTCACGCCGATCTCCGCGCGTCGGTAAGTGCACCAATGTCCCTTCCAAGTTCAAAAAATTACATCACCCTTTATCAAGGGTATAAATGCAAGAATGTACTTTACAATTCGTGCGCAACCTGCACGGACGGACCTGATTGCATATGACTCGGCTCCTTGTCGGGTAATTCAAGTAATTTCGTATTTCCAAGGACCAAATGTTAAAATTTGCCCCCTTCTCTCTTAGGACAAAACCCCCCCCTTCTTCTGCCGCTCTTTCGCGTTCGATTGCTCGATCCCATGGCAGCAGCGGCGGCGATCGATATCTTCATCCCCATCCTCCGCTTCCTCCTCTGCTTCGTGGTCACGATTCCCGCTATCCTCTCGTGGCGGGTGGTCCCCGTGGCGGTCCCGCGTCACCTCTACGCTGCCTTCTCGGAGGCGGACCGTGGGCACGGCCTACGCCGCCGTGCTCCTCATCCACCGCTACGCCGGCGTCATCACCTTCTTCACTGGCTTCGATTATCTCATCGGATGGTAAGACATCGCACCGATCGATGCTCGATTCGAAATTTTGGATGATTGGGAAGATTAGGGTGTTTAGGTCTCACAATAGGTCGATTGTTTTATGTGGTCATTAATTGTTACATGCCACCGCAGATAGGCTTATGCAGCTTTAGTGACACTGTGTGGGTGTCATACTAAAGGATTGTGTAGCGTCAATAAATTCCTAATTTGTTGTCAGCATTAAGAGTAAATCTTTAAATGCAGCTATATCTTTCTACTTTGGTGTCAAAAATCCATTTGCTATGCTGGGCTTACCAAGTCGCTGATTTCTTATGCTAATACGATTCTTGCATTACTTAATTATTTTCATACACGGGAATTGGATAATAGTCTCCAAAATTCACAGATATAAAAAAAAAAAATGATTAGTTCGTCACTTTGCAGGGCCCGTATATGAATTAAAGGATTATGTTCAGCATGTTATTTTCCTTCACATCCATTTTTGTAGGCTAGATGTTCTTGGGTTAACAATTTTTGAACTTCATGCAGATTCGTGCTCCTTCCATTAATCGCCCATTGCCATCACCTCTACGTTCAAGCTGCAATCGGTACCACATTTCCCACTTTCATGGTTCGATGAGCTGATATACTAGGAATGGGGTTTCTGGCAAAGGCTGCTGTTTTATGGATACATGTCTGGATTTACTGCCCGTAGGAAGTACTACTTTATCTGGTCAATCTCAGAAGCTTCTATTATCATATCTGGTTTGGGTTTTAGTGGCTGGTCAGATTCCTCTCCTCTAAACCCACTATGGGACCGTGCAAAAAATGTTGATATTGTTTGTAGAGTTTGCTTCTAGTGCAGTTCAACTGCCTCTTGTATGGAACATACAAGGCGGCACTTGGCTACGACACTGTAAGGATTTTTTTTTGAACTTTCCTTTTAGATGGATTTGTTTTTGTATCATGTGGTTACTAGTTAGATTCAGGTCCAGAAAGCTAGACATTTGCCTCTATACAGGCACATGTCTATGTTGGTCTGGTTCTGGTCATTTTTTTTTCTTTTTAGGGTGGTTGCTTTTATAAATCAGCTGTATTTGGCTGCCCTGGCGTGAGAGCCTTTTTGAGTGTAGGTTGATATGAAATGTGCATATGGACCCATTTAGCCTTCTCTTAATGCATGCATGTATTTGTTTATGTAAATGCTTTGCCGATGTGAATGTCTAAATGCAATGTAGTAGAGATAGGAGAGTTTGGCATTTGCCATTACAACCACTTCTCATCTTTTGAAGTACTGAAGCAGGTGAATTCTTAAGCACATGTGCAACAACTTGAATGCAACTATCAACTCAATTACATTGAAAAAATTCAATGTAATAGAAACTCAATTATTTGGCTGAATTTTTACTTGAATTTTCTTTAATTAGGTGGTCATGTTGAGTACTAGTTTAGTTGTAATCTAATATATGGATGCCAATTTTTTACTACTACATAATGCTTGAAATGATAAATTTTAACTGATATTACTGATACTTATTTTGCCACACTCTTCTTCTAGTTTCACAAGTTTGTACTGATTAATCTGCCGGGAAAGTAAGATGGTTTGTGAGGCAGACCATGTAATCCGAGAGGCCATGTCATTCCAGATGTAGACGAAAAACTAGTTGAGAAAGGGAAGAAACCTGGATTCTTTCAGTTGCCGGCTACGCAGACCGACAGCGCTGTTTGGCATGTAAGTTATAAATGAGCCTTTGTTGGTACTAGTATGAATGTTGTAATGAGGTGTTTCATCTGGCAATTATACCAGGTTTTGGAATGCAAGTTTTATCCTTGATCTCTAGGTAAGGTTGCAAGCAAGTATTATCCTAATAAGGATTTTTAGTGTTTCTCCATGGTTTACAAGGTGCATTTTTGGGGCCAACTTCTAATAATTTTAAGATATTTGTCTATGATATCTTGAACTTTACTTCAATATTGCAACATAACCTATAAATCCATCAAAGCCCAGGTAGGCAGTTATTGTGGTATCTTTCTGCATATAGATCCATGAGTTTTTGTTTTTAGTTCATTAAAGAGCTAATTTTTTATGTCAGTATAAAAAGTACATAGGACTGCAGATGATCTAATTAAGCTTTTCGTTTTCTTTTTCTGGGAGAAACTTAAAAATTAACTTTATCAATCTAATCTGGAGGACTACTGTGGCAGAAAAGGTTTATGGCTTATGCACATAATTCCTCTCAGTACTAATAATTTCTCTTTATGCCTGCACCCTGGCTATATTATATTCTTTGCTCAATCAGCATTGATGATTGCAGGTTCACGAGATAATTCTCCATCAAAAGAGCCAACTGCTTGCTATTTTCTTTTCCTCGTTTCTGTTGAACAGTAATATATAGATGGCACCAAGCTGTCAACCCGAAGAGTAGGTTTTATGGATAGTTATTGAATGGCTTCTCAATTTCTGTGCATAGGAATAGTGTTTATGTTCTCCAAGCTGTCACCTCAACCATGGATTTTTAAAGTAATCTATTATGATTTATTGATTCATTTCTTCTGACTTGATGAGTTAATTAGTTTATCAATTTCGTTTGATATAAATTATTGGTCAAAATATTTAAGCTGGGGTTGTCATATTTTTATAAATTAATTTTAGTCTTCAATATTATAATTTTTCTTGGTAAGGGTTTGTTATTCTTGTTAAGGCTCATCATTCCATTATAACATAGTGTATGTGAGGCTCAGGTTTTTTTACTTCATCTAGGTTGGTTTAAATACTAGGTTGGTTTTGATAACAAATCTTATGACACAAGCTTGATAAATTAATTGGTCCATTAATTTTATTTAACCTAACTTACTGATTAAAATATTTAGTGAAGTTAATAATAATATATTTATTAGATCTTTATAAGTTAATTTTAATATTATTTATTTCGATATGGAACTAATATGTATAAGTTATGGTAAAATAGACACCACATATCTTGATATGTGCGGAATAGTTTTCTTAATTTTGGGGCAGAGTTTTATGTGTGGAATAGGTTTCTTAAACTCGGTAGCAGACTCTTGATTTGATGCTTTCCTTGTTTTGAAGGTTCTGGGCCTGTACGAGACCCTCGCAGCTTACCAGAGCGTCTATTTTGTCGGCACCATTCTTCCCATCTCAATTATCCTGCTCCGGTTACACCATCAAACCCGCAAGAGCTTTCTCTTTCGACTGTACTGGGAGAAGAGGTGAAAGAATCTGACTGTCGCTGTCGCCGCAGCTGTTATTTCACATCATGTACGCGATAAATAGTAGTCGCACTAATCGTGCCTTCGTGGCCAACTATTTCTCGATGGCCTACGACATCGCTCGATGGGCCCCGCCTGGTATGTGACATGACGCCGTGGATTCCGCCGTCGCCTCCGCAATCGCGTCGACGGCGATCGACGGCTCTCCGAACCGCCACGTGGCCCGTACGAGCTCAAGGACCGTCGGTGGCTGTGGGACCCCCTTCGCCTCGTCTCGCCCGACAGGCTATATATATATATATATATATATATATATGATACTGGCCGATATGAGTCAGGCGACCGATACTTACCATGTACAACTGACCCAGACTCATTTCCCTGCCGGAGACAACGTGCGGGTCCCGCCAGGTTGGTCGCTTCTGTTCCAGTCACGTGACGAGTAAATACGCGGGGGCACAGAGCCAACGGTGTCAGGACACAATCGTCACGTCATAATTGCCGCATCCGGATAGTTCCTGTAGCGTTTCCACCAAGTAACGAATATACGAAGAAGGAAAAATGGAAGAAGATATAAGGAGTAAGCGTTCCTCTTTCGCGATGGCGACAGAAAGTAGTCACGTAGCGGTCAAAGGGCGGCCGTCGGAGGCCTCCGAGGCTGCAACTGCAGCAGCAGCAGCAGCGCGGCGGCGGAGTTCGGCCCCATGAAGGAGTGGGAGGTCAGGCCGGGCGGGTTGCTCGTTCAGAAGCGCGCCCCTGAGGCCGACCCCTCGGCCGCTCCGGTCCCCACCGTCTGCGTCAAGGTCAAGCACGGCGCCGGGAACCACGAGATCCGCATCAGCTCCCAGGCCACCTTCGGTGAGAACTCCCAACCGATCTCCCGGCCTTCTTTTGTTTGTTCCACCCAAAGGTGCTCGATGAATTGCTTGTACGACTCGCAGGGGAGCTGAAGAAGGCGCTGTCGGCCAGAACGGGATTGCACCCGTTGGACATGAAGCTGGTGTATAGAGACAAGGCGAGGGAGTCGAATGAGTTCCTCGACACCGCCGGCGTGAAGGACAAGTCCAAGGTCGTGTTAGTGGAAGACCCCGTGGCGCAGGCCAAGCGCCTACTCGAGATGCGCAAGTCCGACATGATGGAGAAGGCCGCCAGGTCCGTATCCACCGTCACCCTCGAAGTCGATCGGCTCGCCACCAAGGTAAATATCTCCCGGTCAACACCATTGACCTCCCTTCCCATGCCTGATCTCAAGATTAATCTCTGAGTGACCATTGATCGAATCAGGCGTCGGCGTTGGAGGCGATCGTCAACAGAGGCGGGAGGGTGGTGGAGAATGATGTCACCGATCTCATCGACTCTTTAATGAATGAGCTGATCAAGTTGGACGCCGTTGTCGCCGACGGGGACGCGAAGCTGCAGAGGAGAATGCAGGTGAAATCAACTCCTCCCGAGCTCAAATGCCTCTTCAATTGCTTGCTGATTGATTCTTTGCCAAGAACAGATGAAGAGAGTGCAGAAGTACGTCGAAACATTGGATGCGATCAAGATCAAGAACTCGTCGCCGAGAGCAAACGGCCAATCAAGCAAGCAGCAACATCATCGGATTCAGCCTCAGCATCAAGAACAAATGCATCAAAAGACGGACTTGCAGCAAACACATCCGCGATTCCAACAGCAGCCGGTGGTGGTGACAAAGAATTGGGAAACATTCGAATCCCTTTTCGCGCAATCCACCTCAGCCACCACCACAGCAGCCTCGTCCGCTCCTCATGCAAGCTTCGACTGGGAGCTATTCTGAGCATCCGATGCATTGCCATCGGCAAAATCTTGCATTCTGTTGTTCCCAATTCTGGTCAGATCCTCTCGAACAACACTTCCTTCTGCTCTACTACTATTCATCGTGTGCATATCTCCTGCTTAGAGGGGGATCAATTCAGATTCACGTGGAATAAATGGACTCGCAAGGCCTAAATGAGTCCATTACCAGTGGCTCCGGCTGCTTAAGCGTTCTTGACTAACCAGCGATTCTTTGATGATTCCAACCAAATGCAGGTGATGCATACTTCCAATTTTCTCCATTGAAATGCTCACCTAATAACTTAAAGCCATTAAATTGCAAGAGGAGGTCGCTGGACTCCAATGGAAACTTGGTGAGCCCACATTTGGTAGATTGTCCACAAGATTACGCTCACCCGTACTGCCGCAGTAATGTCAGCGCCATGTCCGGTGACATCAATGAATGAGCTGCCACCGTAAACATGCAGAAGCTATACTGCTTTCATCACGACTCGGTAATCAGCCCCGACGCACGAATATCGTCGCATGAGTTCTGTAAAATCAAGCCGGTAATTGGGCCTCATTTTTGGCCCAATTGAGCGCACTATACCCAAAAAGAAGATGATCTTCCAGAGGAGGAAAGTCAACTCTTACGAAGGTGCAGTGTTCTACGCATTAAGTTACAGATGCATGGTCAAACAGCACATTAGATATTCCTGCTCGCTTGTCTTGGTCGAGCCATCGAACAGGACAGCAAGCATTTCCATTGGTCGCCGTCTTGGGATCCACGAGACCCAACCGATGGGAAGTCGTAGTTCGCTGATCTGTGGCTCGTTCTACGCGTTGGATATCAAATTAACTGAACTGTTTGGGAGATCTCCGGCGGACATTCCACGTGGTGGGCATACGGAAGGTCCAAAATCATGTAGGCCATTAATATATCATATGCCGTACTACTACTACTAATTATTATTATTATTACTCATTAGCTCTATATTTGATTAATCGAACATGACAAAGCATTATCCACTTAGATCAAAAGTATTTGGACAAGACAGAGTAAGAGAGAGAGAGAGAGAGAGAGAAGAAGAAGTAGGTGACAAGGCGATGCATGTGAGATTGAAGTTGACCGTTCTCTGTCTTGTTTGTTTAACTCTAATTAGCGTGATCCATAAACATGGTGGAAGATTCGGATGTCTTTGTACAAAGAAACATAGCTTTATATATATAATCAAGGGTTGTTTTATATGATCATGCGTTTTTGGTGGGACTTGACCTGACATGCTTTTTCCAAAATAATAATTATTATTATTGTATTTGAATTCTAAAACTAAAAAAAATTGAATCTTGAGTTGGAACTCTGAATTCGAAACTTTAGACTCGAGCTTTCGATATCATTATTCAAAATGACATGTATAACATTTAGATATGGATTTGAGCCTCGAAACCTATCATTTTAAGCAATTGGAATGTCTCAACAAAAATAAATTATAAACTTTTACTTGGTAGAATTATGTGTCAGCATCTTCTGATTCCATTTAGTCATTGATCTTTTTGTTTGGCTACATTATGTTATGTAATTATTTTACCGACATATATATATATATATATATATATTGAAGCTTGCTCGCTTTGTTCTCTTACGTTTGATAACGGCAAGAAACATTTGGCATGACGATCGCTTGGACAACATGAGAAACGAGAGAGAAAAAAGTGTAAGAAACACACATGACACATTTTGCATGATGATTACTTGGATAGCATGAGAAACTGAGGGAGAAAAAAAAAAAGGTGTGAAGTTCGAGATCATGTTAAGGCAATGTACGAAATCGTGGATTCTCCGCATAAAATTTGTGTCTTTATTGAAAGGTGATGATGATATAATTGCGTAATACACTTCACTCGCTTGGCTTTTATGATTTTTATAATTCACACTCTGTGTTTTATTTTACTCAAAATAATTAACAAGATTTGTGTTTTTGTGGTGTGGATGAGAGTTCCTATCATTTTCTAACGTCATAATATTTTTAGAGTTTGGTATTTATCAAATCGAGTTATTATTTCAAAGATGTTTGATTCATGTAAAAATTTTGAATCGATTCGAAAAATTAAATATACCTTTCGATCGGCTCAAAACTCTCGAAAAAAAATTGATTTTTTAATCAAATATATTTGTTTATTCCTATTATTATTATTATCTTAATTTATTTTTATTTTATTCTTCGTAAGAATATATTTGTGTAATGTTAATTGAAAAAAAAATGTTTCAGATATTAGAATGTGATATCGTAAAAGCATGACTTCCAATTTGTCAAAATAAAATTTTCCAACTATATTAAATGAAAAAAAAACCTCACATTATGCGTTATAGTGGAGAACAACAAAATCAATGCCCCAAAAAGAAAATAAATTAAGTGAAACATATTTGATAGGTTACGCTATTTCATAATCTTGAAGACGAAATGGAAAACCCTTTGATGAGGCCCATAAAATTGGAGTTTATTCATCTAATTCTTATAGAATTCTTGTGTTGCTTGATGTTAGACGTGCACAAAACTTGTTCTTCCTATGTGGGGGGAAAAAGAAGAAGAAAAAAAAAAAGAGAATGTAAGTGAGGTTTAAAGTTAGATCGACAACGACAAGCAATTGCCAAGGTAGATGAAAGAACTTTTGCTCATGTTACACATGTGCCGTCTGCGTCCCACATCCCTCAATCGTTTATTTTATTTTATTGGACCACAGCAAATTAATTATTATATTTGTTTGAGTTTTTAGATTAATATATATATATATATATATATATATATATA